ACCCATTTTGTTTGGACCAGCAAACTGCCTGTCATGAATGATGGGGGGGGGGGGGATGGGTCACTGCCACCCAGCGCCCCGTGGTGCACCCCCCCACCTTGCATCCATCCCTGTGCGCACCACCCCCATCCGTCCCCATGTCAGGGCTGGGCAGCAGCAGTGGCAGTGGGGCACTGCTACTGGAAACCTCCCCTTCCCCTCCCTCCTGGCTGTTGTTTGGGGGTGGGGAGGAGTGGCACAGTATCTCCCTCTGTCAGTAATGCTCCAGGCCCTCACAGCCAGGCGGCACGTGCGCACCCCCTTAGCAGCACATATGCAGTTGGCCCAAAGCATTACAGACAGACAGACAAAGGCTTTTATTATATTAGAATATTACAGGCAGTTCAGAAAGTTTCCTCAGATTGCGTTTATGATATCTTAAATGCCCCTTGCTGCTTACTAGCTGGAACAGGATCTGGCACATGATTTTACCAAAAGTCACAATAATTCATCAGGCAAATCCTAACATTTTTTAGGGGGAAACGATCCTGTCATCAGAATGATGCACTTGCACCTCCATGCCCATGTGTAGCTCCAGTGATTTTACAGGGACTCCCTGAGTATAAGTGTTTGCTATATAAATTCAACTTCAGTAGTAATTTTTTTCCTTTTCAAGCAAGTATCTCCACCTTTTACTTTGTCCTAAGGCCTCCTCTGCAGCTTCTCTCCTCTTCCTTTCTTCTGACAGTGTTTCTGTTAGCTGAGATAGGGTCTGCTGTACTGATTCGTACTGCTGTTCAGTCTCTGCAAGTCTATTGACAAAAGCAAACACCAGATCAATTATTTAAATATAGATCATCTTGTTAGGGAATTCACTTCTATTTGTTATAGTCTTAGGCAAGCTGATATGTTCCGAATCATGTACTAAAAACAAGTCACTCATAACTTGAGCGTTATACATCTAGCTTTAAAATGACATTATCACCAGATATACATTCAAAGCTTCTTCATTAATAAGACAGTTAATTCAGCAATGTTTTCAGATCCACCCAACTGACTATAACATTTCCCTGTTCTTAAACATCAAAAACTGCCTTCCAAGGAGACAAGTAAATTACTTCTGCTCTACTGATACACTGGCACACAAGAAAACAACAATGTTAATATACGTAATCAACCCTGACCTTATCCTGAGTTCAATTAATTCTGCGTTGTCTAGTTCAACAATAACTGCAGCTCTCTCCTGTGGTGCTCCTGGGGGAACTTCTGCTCTGGTTTTGTCCTAGAAAATATTAAAATAGTTTTTGAAAGAAAAAAAAAAAGGAAAGAACAAACAAACGTGACCATAACACTTCCAGTTAAAAGTTCAAATTTTCTGGTTAAAGATATTAGTCCCAGTTCAAGAAATCATCAGGTGATTGTACAGCTATCCTACCACTTAATCATTTAGCTGGGGCTACAACTTCCAAATGTACATTCAAATGGATTCTACCCAAGGACATTCCCTATGGAAGCTACAAGCCTCCACAAATGCGTAATTTCCACTTCCTCATCTATGACTTAACTTGGGGGACTTTGGGGTGCGAATACCTTAACAAGGTGAGCAGGTTAAGCAATTGTATAGAAGAGACATAAAACCACCCCTTTAGTTAGTGAGCAAGGTTTACAATTAAGGGATCTTTACTATTAAATCAAGACAGCACAAGACGGTTATTTAAAAATAAAAAGAGCTCCTGGTCCAGTGCCTTTTTCACTTTAAGGCAATGTTTGTTATTATGAAAACAAGAGAAGTATGATGAAACATCGCAAGTAAGTATGCGAGAGATCACAAAGGAAATTAAAATGTGTTTAGAAGGCCAGTTCTGCACACAAGATCTTTCCCATAACTTTGATAAAGATCTCCCCTTAACATCTTACAGTAGTGGTAACAATCCAAATATCTACCTGTTAGTCTCAGGTAAATTCAAAATAAAGGCCTGTTCAGAAGAATTTGAGAGAACTGGCATGACATTGGGTCATGGATCAGCACTTTTCAGGAGAAGCTCTGCCTTGGGATTCCCCAAGAGGCCTTGTCCAGTCTTCCTCTTGAAGGACCCATTGAAACCATGCCTGGCTTTCCAAGCTTCTGACTTCAAGACCTTGCCTCTTTTCTGTCCCTTGGCTATCTGTAGCACCCCCACCTCAAAGAGGTCCTTCTTTGCTTAGCACCTGCCAAAGGGGGCGACCCCTACAAGATGGGGGGGGAAGGGAGACAAGGATCAGAGTACCAACATCCCAAACTGTGCAGAAAACAGCCCCACTTCAAATAAAAAGTCTTTATTTTTCCACTGCAATTGCCTCAGACTCCTGCTTACTCACTCCCCAGATACTTCAGAGCCTCTCCTTCTCCTCAGGCACACATAAGGCACATTAGCAATAAAATGGTTATAAAACTACAGGAGACTAATACTCACCCATTAAAATGAAACTATGTTACTGGGAACCAACCAGAGACCAATCTTGGGAGCCAATAAAACCCAAATTTATCTTCCCTTGATGTAAAAAGGACCTCTAGATGTCCCACTTATGAAATCATCTACAGCAAAGCATGCTTACACTGAGCCCTCTACAAGAACTCCAGACTAGAACTTAACTTAATCAGCTGTTTTAGTCACATCTCTTCCTGCTCTGAAAAATGAACTGAGCTGGAGCACTGTAACCAGTGATCTAGGGAAGTTCTAGCCACCCCTTTCCGTGACAAAGCATTGGCATTTACATTTTTATTACTCTTAATGTGAATTATTTGCATGTTGTAATTTTGTCGGGCCAGGCTCCATTTCAGAAGTATAGTATCAGTACTCTCCAAGAGGAAAAATCCCCCACCAGGGGCTCCTTTTGCACCTGCTAAGTGCAGAGCTTCAGCCTTTCTAAGTAGACTATCTATTACCATCAGGTCCTGGAAAAACCGTAGGCTCCTGATTTCCTCAAGTCCCAAAAATGCCTGGTATGCCTAGAGAATCTCATTGTCTTTTTGACCCATTATCCTAGGGTGGCTTAGAACATGGGAAAGCCTTTGCTGCCTTCAGTACCTTGTAATCCTAGGATGTCTGAAGGCCCAGGGCTACTGAATGCTACAGAATATTGACAAGGTAAGGTGACACACTTCGCTCTGTGTCTAAAAGCCTATTGACAGCCTCCACACTGCAGCAGCAGTCATGGAGGAGCTAGACCTGGCCAATTTAAGGACCGTCTCAAATCACCCTGAGACATCCAGCAAGAGGCAAGAATTCTTGTGAGTGATATCTTTTATTGAACCTAATGCATGGTTGGGATAGACACAGGCAAGCCTTCAGACGTGACAATACCCATCCTCAGGCCCTTGGGAGAAAAGCAGACAGCATAGCTAAGCAGCAGATAAAGCAAAGTTTGCTTAAAAGATTATTCAGGAGACCTGTAATCACCTGAAGTCCAGAGGTTAACTAGTATCAGATAGATAATACAGACAATGACTTCATGGTCCATTATAAAGTCCCTGGTACTTAGGCTAGGTAGAGACATTCAAAAATCCTGAGGCGGAGTAGTTATCAGGTTTTCTGTAAGTGCCGTAGTTTAGATCAGTAGCAAACAATCTTAGACCAAAGTTCCGCCATTTTTAAACCAGTCTACATGTGCCAAACTTCAGTTCTGTTACAGATATAGACCAGTTTTGTGTGCCAAACTTCTGTTCTGTTTAGGGATGTGAAAGGTGAAATGATTACTTGTTTAACTAGGAAGTGCAGTGATAACCAGTTAGTTTACTGGTTATCCTTTAACTCTGGAAGGAAGGGAAGCTGCATGGTGCCCCAGCAGGAATCAGAAGGCAGCAGGGCAGACAGGACAAAGGGGGGAGGGAGGGAGGAGTGAGCAAGAAAGAGGGGAGGGAGAAGGGGAAGAGGTGGAATCTTTGTCTATCCCTTCCCAAACTTCAGAGACCCAGGCTCCTGCATCCCTCCACTCCAAAAACAACCTGGCATCATCCCTGTCCTCCTTAACGTGTTCCATGCAAATGTTTCAGTTGAATATACTTAGTGAAGACCTTCCCCAGTTCAAACTGCTGCTGTCCCAAGTGTACATGTAGACACTGCCCCCAGGAGCAGTTGACTGGCTCAGACTGCTCCAGAATTTACTGCGTTGCATTAATTGCATATGTAGATGCACCTGGTTAGTTAAGTTTTAGCTAGACAAAGCCCATGAAGACAGTATTTGTTCTGAGACTGACCCTTGGGGATACTGAGTGATGCAACAAGTTCCTTCTGAGGACTAAGTATACAATTCCTTCCACACTACTTTTATCAATATTATCTGGCCCACAACTTTTCAATGATCTTAAAAACCCTGCTGTTTAATGGAAGAAAAAATTGAAATACCTAAGTAGTACAAATTATGGGACTTATACTGCCTTTAAAATTACATATCTGGAGTACAGGAAATGTAAACAAAACAAAACCAGTAAATCTGTGAATATTAACCAAAGGATAGTCAATGTTGCTGTATATAGCTACAGGTGAAAGAAAACCTAAAAAAACTATCTTCCTTATTTTATAACATGATTCATGAAGTAATGAAAGTCTAATACTAAAAAAACTTATTTCCTTGTCATTAAGCAATAGAAAACTACCTAAGACTACAGATCCCTTCAAAATCTCAGTTTGGGGCATGAATACAGAAATGGGAAAGGTGGGATAGAAAACAAGATATGACATTTTGCTCTGTTCACTTTACCTGAGCTGCATCTTGGTAGGGAGCAACTTGCATTGCCCGATAGTCCCTCTCAAGTCTGAAATAGCGGTTTTGCAGCTCAGTGTAACATAGCTGATTATCCCTTAGAGTCTGGGAGATAGTCTTCAACTGGGCAGACAGGGCACCATTCTCCTCTGTTGACTGCATTACCTAAAACAATTTAATCTTTAAAAACAAGATCTACCAATTCTCTTACAGGGATATTGTACTGAGGTAAGAGTAATAGCTGAAAGCTATTATGAGTTGAAATAAGTGCATCAAGTGACAGCCAGATGACAATGCCACAGGCTCACAAGCTTTAAGACGAGGAAACGAAAGAGTTGGAAGAATTTTCTTTTCAGAGATGCTTTATCAACATACAACCTGTTTGTGCTCAAAACTTGTGCACAAATTTATTTAACTTAAATTGCCAATGGACACATGTCACTTGAGGCATTTTGAAAATTTGGTCTTACGTGGCTCCAATTCTGTACTACAGTGCAGGCGTTTCATTTGTTCCAAACTTAAATCCAATCCTTTTGCTTGGAACGTGGAGGTGTTTAAACTTCCCCAATGAAGAACTATAAGGCCAAGGAGCCCTGGCTCAGACAAATAACCAACCAAAAGAGCCATCATGGAAAGACAGTAATCGTGATTTAGCTTGCCAGTTCTAGTCTGAGCCAACTTGTGTGAGGCAGTCTAAAATTGAAAGTAATAGAAACATGCCATGCATTGGTGTCACACTGTTCCTAGACTCAGGGAGATTAAATTACTTGCACATTGACATTCTCTGCGCTCCACATCTACCCAGAGTTATCATAGTATCTTCTTACCTTTGAATTGATCTGCTGGAAAGTAACATCTTTCTGCTGCATCTCCTGAAGACAGTGCTGCAGCTCATTCTGAAGCTGATTTCTCTCAGCTAAAAGTTGTTTTACCTGCTCTGGGGTGTTTTCACTTCTGACTAGAGTGGCCATTTCGAGTGCCTTAGTTAACAAATAAAAAACAAAACAGGGTTAAATCTAAAGGAATTGGTAACTATTACATAAGAGGCAAGACTTTTGGGGAAATATATTTTATTGGACTAAGTGTATAGCAGGGAGAGCTAAAAGACATACTTTTGGGCATCAGGTGCCCATACTCAGGTCACTGTTACATAACATAACATTTTTCACATATGGACAAAGACAATCCTGTTATTATTTTCTTCTCACAAGCTAGTCTAAATGTTTCAGTGAAAGCTGTTTTTAAACAATACTAACATTGCAACATTAAGAACCTGTAAAGAGGAACTGGCCACAGATTAATGTAATTGACTTCAAGCACACAAGTGAAGCCAAATGAAAAAAAAAGAACAACTCTGAAAACCAACAAAGAGCAAAGTGGATTCATGTTTTTTTTAACTGAAATTATTTTACTTGTAATACTATATGCAGTTTAACAAAGGTTACAAATGGTTATTTTGTAAATATTAATTTAAGGCAGACTGTACCCCTTTTCACAAAAACTCCCCAATATTGCTTTTAATAATGAATTGAATAATCTGTATTTGGTGACCAATTCCATCATCCTATCCAACTCCAACAGCGAAGGGCCACTTCCAATCAATTTTTTTCTACTGTTCTGTGGAACAAGTTCTATATATAAAGATCAGGGGTGTCAAACTCACCCAGCCCATGGGGCCAGATGAGTTGTGCAGGGCCAGTCCACAGGCCAATAAGACCCACAGTTTAGCATTCTGTATCCAGTGCGTGCCTTGGAACAGCAAGAGTGCATGCCACATGTGGCATGGTGCTAGAGCCCCAGAGCAGCAAACAGACATTCTGGGGCTGTGCTGCACATGGCAGCTGCTCAGCCACTTTGAGGTACAAGCTGGAGCGGGCACTGCATGCTGCATGTGGGGACATCCAGCACACCCCACATGTTGCTTGTGTGGCATCTCCAAGACCCACAGACAGCACTGAGAGTCAGATAATAGGGCTCCACAAGCCAGATCTTTGACATCCCTGTATCAAATTATATACTGAAACTTCTATCACTTCTCTTGGGAGCTTATGCCACAATCCAATAGTCATAAGTTTTAAAAAGTTTTCATATTTCATCATGGTAATAACTGGAAATTGACAGTAGTCACAATATTGGTCAAGATAAATGTTATTCTCATTGACCAAATCACTCACCTGCTGAGATACCCAAAGCATGGGGTGAAAAGCACTCCTCCACCCTATCTGGCCCAATTCAAGGCACTCTGGGCTGAGTGCACACTCCCACCCCTTGATGATGGAGCCACAGCCTTTCCACAATTATGAACTGGTTCCCAATGAGTGATATCTGGAATTGTTGTATGTATGTAGACCCATTAGATGAAATGCTTGGTTACTACCCATACCCTCTGGTATTATAGCTCCACTAAACAGTTCTCATTATGGAAAAAGCTTTTAAAGTAAAAAAAAAAAAAAAAGTTAACTGACCAAAAAGTGTTTATATTTAAATGTGTTTAATCACTTTTACCTTGATTGGGTGATTACTGCTGGACGATTCTTTAATAATAGCATCTTGTTGCGACTTCTGTAATTCTACAATCTGTCGGTCTTTCTCCCTAATAGCCATCTGATACTGATTTTGTAGTGCTTGGGATTCTGTCAGCAGGTGTTTTTTTTCCATTCTAAACACAAAACAGGAGTTAAATTATAACTACATACACATCAATGTGGAAAAAAATAAAGCTAAGTTCACTGAGCATTTTGAAATAAATGTCATAGGAATTTCTACATAGCCACACCCATATCAACACAGATTAGTATCTAAGACTTCACCTTAATACTCAGTTTTCCCCAGAACTTTCTTTTTAAAATGCCCTGAGAACAAGGGTTTGAAAAAACACTGCATGTACCCTGTTTGCACAAAGGCTAGATACAATAAAATATTCTAACCAGGCAGTGAAAGTTATCATGGTTATGCAACTTTTAATTGCAGTAGTCAAATTAAAGGAGGAAGTAGTTAAATTAAAATTTTGCATACCAAACCCACCAAAACAGAAAATTCAGCTCACAAATAAGCCTGAAGTCTATTATGTAGAGATAGAGATAGCTATATAAAGAAATGAAGTTTATTATTATTATTATTAATACAAAAGTTCTAAAGTAGAGTTCACACACAATGAAAATGTTTTGATGGAAATTTTAGGTGAACTATAACTCTTCGTTTCTATTTCAGATATTTCTAAAGGGATGTTTCATTGCGTTGTGTATTCTACTGAAGATGCTTCTACACTAGCAACACGCTTTGTTTGATATTTTTACCTTAATCCAGCCAATTCATTTTTGTATGATGCAATCTCTTTCTCAGTTTCCGCTTGGAAAGCTTTGGTTTGATGCAAAGCTCTCTCCAGGTCATCTACCTTGTTCTTTAGTTTGGACATTTCAACCGTTGCTAGACTGGTTCCTTCTTTAGCCTACATGAAAAAAAGATTTAATGAATTAGAGTAAAATCTGGATCATACTAGAAACCCTGTTAGTATCAAAACTACATAAAGAATTATGGTTTCTTCTCATTCTCTCCTGTTTCTTCAGGTCTGCAGAAACCAAAGTTCTCAACCTGATTTTAAATGTGGTTTCTCTATTTCACCTATACTTTCTTAATGCTTAGCTAATCTACTGAATGGAAACTTTGCAATCCATAAAAGCATATAAAGAAGAGAGTAAATTCTTGCAATTGTCCTTGAACTTTACACAACATATTTCTCCCTATCCATCTGAAATGTTTCCAAACAACTTGAGAGAATTTATCCATCTGGAATGTTTCCAAAATACTCTTAAGCACATTTCTAAATTACTCTTAAGACAAAAGAATTAAAAAAAATAAATTAAAATCTGAGTTCAAAAGGCTCTGGACAGGTTACAATAAAATGGAAAATGAATTGCAGAAACAGAATAAAATCCTAACATGAGAACAAACTATGCCCCCTTCTTGCCTGCACCCTGCCCAGGGAGGGGAAAAAAAAGTATTAAAAACCAGTTCATCCTTCCCTGCCTACTCCAGCTCCCCTAGCCTATGACCAAGGAGAATGCTCCTTCTTGCCTTCTTCCACCTTAACCAACCTCATTTCCCAACCTACATGCAATATGTCCATAAAAGACAACAGTTCTCCCCCCACCATCTGTATTGCCTCCCATCACTCCCCACTGTCATTCATTCCCCTGCCTCATATGCAAGGGAGTTCCCCTGACCCACTTATTGTCCCTTCTAAGCCATATCTCCTCCTTTCTTATTTCACTGATGTTGTCAGAGGCAAATGGGAAATGAAGCTGTGCCATGCTTAGCTTTATGAACTACCTTCAGTTTGCTGAGCTCCTGCAACAATCTGTCTCGTTCATCCTGAAGACAAGACATGGCTTTGGAAAAGGCTTCAATTTGCTGAATATGCTTCTTATTCTCAGATGTGAGCGTAGAAATCTCAAGGTCTTGGCTACTTACTTCCTCACAGAGATTTTCAATTTCACTAATAACCTGATCCAGAGTGACCTTGTTTTTAGCAGTGCGAAGCTCTTGGCTCAAAATATCATCTTCTTTTAGTACATTCATAATTTGCAATGTGAAGTCATTCAGTTTTGTTACAAGTTCATCTCCTCTCTTTTTTTCAGTTTTGAGTTCAGATTCATATTTATTCTGAAGTATTTTGAAATCCTCTATTAATCTGTCTCTATCATCCTGTAAAGAAGCCATTGCTTTTGCAAATGACTCAGTATGGGATCTCAGTTGTTTATTCTGACATTGAAGGTCTACCAGCCTCTTCTCTGGAGATGTATCAGTTTCATTTCCCCATTCAGATGTCAAAACTGACTTACTGTCTTTACCCTCTGAAGATTTTGTGAATTTACCTAATTTCTGGATTTTTTTAAATATGTCTTGAAGTTTTTCCCCATGTTGTGCATTGACTGCCAATTCTATTTTCTGATCACTCTCCCTCATCTGGTGTTTTTCTCTAGTTTCAGAAACGAGTTTTTCTTTGTTTAGTGATGCAACTAGAGACTCCAGTTCATTTATTTTGCATATTAATATTTGATTCTCATGTTCTAAAGATTTTGTACTCTCCTGTTGCAAATTATTAGTCAGCTGCATTTCTGTGATTTGTTTCTGAAGTTTCGATTTCTCCTGTTCAAAGTCCTTCATGCAATCCAATTTCTGTTTAAGCAATTCTTTCAACTGATGATCTTTCAGAGATAAAACCTGGTTAAAGTCTTCCCTACATTTTATTAATTGCGCACTTAGCTTTGCATTTTCAGAATGAAGATCATCTATCCGATTCAGATGCTTCCTTATTTCTTGTTTCAAATCACTGTCACAGTTGCCAATACTAGTGAAGAGACCATCTCTCTGACTTAAAATGTTTTCGTGCTGATATTCCAGATCTTTGTATTTAGAAAAGAGAACATCTCTGTCATTCTGAAGAGATGACATTGATTTTCTTAAGGAATCAATT